AGAAAGATTCTAAAATTCACATAAGGTGCAGGCCCAGGATTCAGAATTTTTAAGAATCTCCTGATCCCACAAGGCTAGGCATTCAAACTTCCTTGCTTCTTCCTTTTACCACCTGGGTGGGTTTTTGATGGTTTCCCTCTTTCAGTAAGGCTGTTGCTCTTTCAGGGTCCCAGCTTTAACTGGGGGTTTCAGTTTCCTACCTGGAGCCAGTCTTGTCTTTAGTTGTATTAAAACAAGTCCTTAAGGTACATTTCCCTTATCCCCTCAGTAACTGCATTGGCTATTTTCCTGTCCACTCTAGTTTTTAGTTCCTTTGTCTTTAGTCTTTCTTGGAAGCTCTGCTATGCATTTTAAAAAAACAGCTTAGAAAATACTTCATCTATCATTGCTACATGTTTGTCTCAGTTTATTTTAGTCTGCATTAAGCTAGAACTAATATCTTTCATATACTCTCATGTCTCTTCTAAACATAATACCCTTCCCTTCCATTGCTTTTTTGCCTGGCAAAACTCCACCTAACTCTAATGGCCCAGCTTTACTTTAAAGTTTTCCTCCACCTTGCCAAGAATAATTTAGAACAGTTCTTAACACATTGTATTTTATTTCCCCCTTACTGGAGTGTGAGCACTTTGAGGCTAGAAACCAGATCTTGTTCATCTTTGTGTCTACAGCTCCTGCCATAGTGCCTAATATAAAGTAGGTACTTAATGACTATGTTACTGAACTGAAAATATTTTCCTGCATGAATACTGGATTTTTAAATTTATTTTTTGGAGACAGGGTCTCACTCTCACTCAGGCTGGAGTTCAGTGGTGTGATCTTGGCTCACTGCAATCTCCTCCACCTCCAGGGTTCAAGTGATTCTCCTACCTCAGCCTCCCTAGTAGCTGGGATTACAGGTGGCAACCACTGTGCCTGTATAATTTTTGTATTTTTAGTAGAGATGGGGTTTCGCCATGTTGGCCAGGCTGGTCTTGAACTCCAGACCTAAGGTGATCTGCCTGCTTCTGCCTCCCAGAGTGCTGAGATTACAGATGTGAGCCACTGTGCCTGGCTATGAATATTGGATTTAAAGTCTGAAGAACTTCATTTATCACCCACTAACTAAACTTATGTAATTATGTTTAGGATTAGGATGGACAGTCTGGTTTTTTGTTTTTGTTTTGTTTGAGACAGGGTTTCACTCTGTCACCTAGGCTGGAGTGCAGTGGTGTAATCACGGCTCACTGCAGTTTTGACCTCCAGACTCAGAAGATTCTCCCACTTTAGCCTGCGGAGTAGCTGGACCACAGGTGCACGGCACCACTTGTGGCTAATTTAAAAAATTATTTGTAGAGATGGGGTCTCCCTTTGTTGCCCAGGCTGGTCTTAAACTCCTGGCCTCAAGCAGTCCTCCTGCCTCAGCCTCCCAAAGTGCTGGGATTACAGGCGTTAAGCCACCACACCTGGCCTTTTTGTTTTTAAACAACTTCTGAGACTAGGTTTCCTCATTGTGGCATATTGAATCTTTCATAGATGACTGCAGCAATGCCTCCCATTCCACTGCTCTTCAGTGACCTTGTCACTTCTTCATCGAGAAGTAGAGTCTGTCTTACCACCCTGCCTTGCATCTGGGCAGTGCCTGTGATCACTTTGATCAGTAGCATACAGTGGAAGTGATGGGTGCCACTACTAGACAACACTGTTTTTTTGAGACAGGGTCTCATTCTGTCGCCCAGGCTGCAGTGCAGTGGTGTAGTCATCGCTCACTGTAACTTCAAACTCTGAGCTCAAGTAATCCTCCCACCTGATTCTCCAGAGTAGCTGGGATTACAGGTGTGCACCACAACACTTGGCTACTTTTTTAAATTTTTTGTAGAGATGGAGTCTCGCCTTGTGCCCAGGCTGGTCCCAAACTCTTGGCCTCAAGCAATCCTTCTGCCTTGGCCTCCTCAAGTGTTGGGATTACAGGCTCGAGCCACCATGCCCAGCCTAGACAACACTCCTAACTGGCCTAGCAGCTTCTGCTTCCTGCCTCTTGGAACCTAGCCACCTGTGCAAAGCCCAAGATAATGGAGAGGCATGTACAGGCACTTCAGTTGACAGCCCTGACTGAGCTCCTAGCGAAAATCCAGCATCGACTGATAGCCAGGCAAAACCAGGTAAGTAAATCATCTTGGATGTCCAGTGCAGCTGCGTCTTCATTCAAATAAGTAACTCCATTCCCAGCTACAATCTGACTACAACCACATGAGATCCTCCAACTGAGCTCAATCAACCAACCACATCATGAGCAATAATAATCTGTTAAACCACTATGTTTTAGGGTGGTTTGTTACATATTAATAGATAATCACAACACTCATTTATGGAATGGGGATAATCCTATTTCTACAGAAGTATTTTCTTTCTTTTTTTTTTTTTTTTAACATACTTGGCTCAGCCAGTTTTTCCCCCTCCCCTCCCCTCTCTTCCCCTTCCCTCCCCTCCTTCTTCTGCCCTGCCCGCCCTTCCCTTCCCTGTGTTTTAAACCTTGGTTATTGTTGTATGTGAAATCACTTTTGCCAGGCGCAGTGGCTCACACCTATAATCCCAAAGCTTTGGGAGGTCAGGGCGGGTGGATCACTTGAGATTAGGAGTTCGAGACCAGCCTGGCCAACATGGGGAAACCCCCGTTTCTACTAAAAACAAAAATTAGCTGGGTATGGTGGCATGCACCTGTGATCCCGGCTAGTCAGGAGGCTGAGGCAGGAGAATCACTTGAACATGAACCAAGATCATGCTATTGTACTCCAGCCTGGCGACAGAGCAAGACTCTGTCTCAAAAAAAAAAAATCACTTTCTAAGCAGTAAAGCACTATACAAACATAAGTGATTTTTCAATTAATAATAAAGCTACTCGGGAAGCAGGAGGATCATTTGAGCCCAGGAGATCGAGGCTGCAGTGAGCTATGATCAAGCCACTGCATTCCAGCCTGGGTGACAGAATGAGACCCTATCTCTAATAAAAGAAGAAGAATAATAAAGTTAAAACCCTTTTATAGCCAACAGAGGAGAGGTAACGCCTTATTTCTCTTAAAAATACTCCTGGTTCTCTGGTATAGATGATGTGAGTCTTTAACCTACTGGCCACTAATTTGGGTCCTTTCAGGCCATCTACAAAACGGTTTTATGTAGCACCAGTAACGGTTATCTTCTATCTCTGTATTAAAACTCTCTAGAATCCTACCTCTCACCCCCACCCCAACCATTTGCACACAGTTCCTTCTCAGAACAAGATTCTATTCTGATAGTTGACCCTCATCTTACTTCATTTATCCAATGCAAACTATTTAATAGAATCAGTCTCTGCCTTTGGCTGAATGTTTCTGCAACATCTAGTTTTCCTCATTATGAAATCTTGGGAAGTGCTGGTAGAGACTGCAGAGTGGTTAATTAGATTACGGTATAGAGAGTACAGTGGTTAGGAATAGAGAGGGACAGTAAGTAAGATAGGAATAGTAAGGGTTTGACTCCTTACTAGCCGCTTGACCTTAGCAGGTTAACCTCTTGCCTCCTATTGTCATATGTGTTTAATACAGTGCCTAGCATGTAATAAACGTCATGTGTTAGCTATTATTTTTTATTATTGTTTTATCCAGTTGTATCTTTTGTCAGATTAGCTACACCAACCAATCCAGTTTGTATCAACAAGGCAATTGTTCAAATTTCAGAAGACAAAATACATCTCTCATCTGATTTTCAAAAGCATTTTCATTCATATTTCACAACAACTAGTCTATTCAGTATACCAAGTTGAGGAACTAAAAGTATGACTTAATTTTTTTGTTTGTTTTTTTTAGACGGAGTCTCACTCTGTTGCCCAGGCTGGAGTGCAGTGGTGCTATCTTGGCTCACTGCAACCTCCGCCTCCCGGGTTCAAGTGATTCTTCTGCCTCAGCCTCCCAAGTAGCTGGGACTACAGGCATGTGCCACCATGCCTGGCTGACTTTTTATATTTTTAGTAGAGACGCGGTTTCACCATGTTAGCCAGGATGGTCTCGATCTCCTGACCTGCTGATTTATCACCCACCTCGGCCTCCCAAAGTGCTGGGATTACAGGCGTGAGCCACTGCGCCCGGCCAAGTATGACCTAATTTTTAGTCTTCCTGATTAGCTCTGACCAAATGACTACTTAGAACTTAAGTTTTCCTATTCCCCACAGTAAGTCTTTCTAAAAATCAAGTCTGTTAGCAAGGTAAGTTTAGTAGGGTCAATATCCCTATAATGTCAATGAACATCAAGTGAGTATCTGATTCTTAGAACAATAACCTATTTATTTCCATTTTCATTCTCTCCCTGACACTCTGCATATGTCATAATGTACCTAAGAGCACATGTGGAAATATTTTGATAATATGAACATTCACCAAATGGAAAATTATTCTGGGAGATGAATACTGTATTTGGTAATTTTGCCAAGACCACAGAGAAAAGTCTGGATTAGGATGACTGCTTCTCCATGGGCTAAAAGAGAAAACAGTTGAAACAAAAAACACCTCAGATTTATTTATCATAACCTTAAAATGTTAATTGGGCTGGACGTGGTAGCTAATGCCTATAATCCCCATTTTGGCTTAAGGCCAGGTGTTTGAGACCAACCTGGGCAACATAGGGAGACCTCATCTCTACCAAAAAAAAAAAAAAAGTTATTTGACAATCTCTGTATTGACTAAAATAGGAAATAAGGTATTTACCTAATGGCGTCTTGGCTTTTCAACCAAAGCTTTTGTTGGTTTCACTATATACATGGTTGAATCTGTCCAGTATTCTTCTTGTGACCCACTAAACCTATTAACTTTTTCTTAAAAAACATAAAGCTCTAAAATGTAAGCACCCTGGCTGATTCTCTTCCCACCATGCACAGAAAGGAAAAATTTGGTGTCCAGGGCCTTCTGAATCAGACCTGGAAAAGCTCTTAATTAGCTTATGGATTCAGGAAACTGCAGAAATAGTCACTAAAGAGGTTGAGACAGTAGAGGTGGGTTGAAGTACTTTTAATCACAGAGTAAACAATAGTACAAGACCGTGAACAGCTCACCCAGTGGCTGTTGTCCTCCTCCAGCCCTCAGCTCACCCTCTTCCCATGCCCCCTCCCTGGGTACCATTGAGTAAAGAGTAGGGTATTGGCAGCTGTCCCTGTTGCTATCAGGTGATAGGAAGGGGATCTAGCTAGGGACCACAGTAATCCCGGCCATCCATCCATGGTTCTGTTTCTATACAACTTCATCATGCAACGTATTCTAGCTGTGAAAGAGGAACAGTGCAGAAATCTGGGACTGAATTTGGCTGCTCCATTCAGATGGCCCAGGGGTTTAGAGCCTCAAGAGCCAAGAGCAAAAAGGGAGGAGACAGTCTGGAGTCAGTATAATTCAAGATGCAGCCAAATGTGGAACTAAGGTGGGTTCAAAGGGGACTAGGGAAGGCCTCATGGCTCCAGTCCAGAATTGTGCCCCAACCCCAGCAATGAAACTCACGCATATGCACAAATGCACATGAACAAACACACAAAAACAGAGCAAATAACATTACTGAAAGAACTTGGAGGCTATTAAATACAAAACGGCAGCGTTTTCTTTCAAAGTGAAAATATTCGCTTCTTTGATACTCCTCAGTGCCTTGTAGTCCCCCAGTCACAGAAGGGTAGATATGGGAAGGGCCAAGAGGAGTATGTTGCCAGTGACCCTACAAGTCCATGTGTACTGAAGTCCCCACAGCAACCACCTTACTCTTCAGCCCAGTAGCTGCCTCCCATATGACCATTCACCCGATTGGCACCATTGCTGGAGCTACTGTCACAGGGACTTTTTGTGCAGGTGGTCACATCTTCTTCCTCTGAGCTGCTCTCCACATCACTGCGATCATCCTTAGATACCTGAGTGGGATGAGACCAAAGACAGAAAAGTGAGGGCAGAACTTTTCTGGAGAGAACTGTAAGACACACCTACGCTCAGAAACCCAGGTGTGAGCACTGTGTTCCCAGTCTGGTCTGCTTTCTGATGACATCTAACTCAAAGTATTGTCTGGACTATGGCTAATGTTGTGACTATGCTTCGCCTGCTTTCTAGTTTTCTCCCTTGCCATCTCCAATTCTGTTCTCTATGGAATAGAAGCTACTTTGGTAGAGGGGTGTGTCTTTCAGGACCAGCCTAAGAGAACTGACATCACTCACTGAGACCTGGTTTAGGTTTCAGGGAAACTCCAGACACCCCTTCTCTTCTTCCACTTCAAAGAACAGGGAAGGCCAACATGAACAATACATATGACTGTCAGCAGTGCTTCTATCTTCTGGTGGCTGTGGACAATGCATTTATTCATATTGGTTATGCTGTTTTGCTTTATCCCCAAAGCTGATCCATAACAGGCCTTTTTTAGTAGTTTCCCATTCCTAGGCTCAGCTACCATTATCCTATGACACTGTTTTCCAATCTTCTTCCCTTTCCCAATAGCAAGATCACTTTTCTTGTGAAACTTCAGCATCCCCAAGATACACAGTATAGTGAAAACACAAATGGACTGGCAGTCAATGAGAAAAGAATCCCAGTTCTAATCATGCTACCATCTGTGAATGCTTATTAACATGGTCTTTTTTGTTTCGTATTTTCAAATGAAGCATCTGGATTACAACAGCATTTCCCAATTAAACTGTCCTGCATATCAAGCAAAGTATTTCAGTTTCTCCACCATGGGCCAGGAACGGTGGCTTACACGTATAATCCTAGCACTTTGGGAGGCTGAGAGGGGAGGACTGCTTGAGCCCAAGAGTTTGAGACCAGTCTGGGCAACATGGCGAGAGCCCCGTCTCTACAAAAAATAAAAAATGACAAAATTAGTTGGGTTTGGTGACATGCATCTGTAGTCCTAGCTACTTGGGAGGCTGAGGCAGGAGGATCTCTTGAGCCCAGGAGGTCGAGGCTGCAGTGAGCCATGATTGCGCCACTGTACTCCAGCCTTGGCAATGGAGTAAAACCTTGTCTCTTAAAAAAAACAAAAAAAACAAAAAAAAAGGGCCAGGCACGGTGGCTCACGCCTGTAATCCCAGCACTTTGGGAGGCTGAGGTGGGCGGATCACCTGAGGTCGGGAGTTCGAGACCAGCTGGATCAACATGGAGAAACCCCGTCTCTACTAAAAATACAAAAAAAATTAGCCGGGCGTGGTGGCGCATGCCTGTAGTCCCAGCTACTCAGGAGGCTGAGGCAGGAGAATCTCTTGAACCCGAGAGGCGGAGGTTGCAGTGAGCCAAGATCATGCCACTGCACTCCAGCCTGGGCAACAAGAGCGAAGCTCTGTCTCAGAAAAAAAAAAAACTCCACCCTGGACTCTGGAAGTAAAGGACAGAAACCCAGTGAGACCTGTGTCGGACTTCTGACCTCCAGAACTGAAGGATAATAAATGTAGTTTAAATAAAGGAGAGAAGGAAGTGAAAAGGAACACAGCTGTAACAGCTATTGCCAAGGAGGTGAGCATTTGCTTTGGATCAGCTCCTTGAATTTGTGTTGGATGGGTCTTCTACAGTTGATTATAGCTGTTGACCTCTGAACTCAGATGACTGATTACCTGACCTTTAGGAAATTTCCACTAGAGGGCAGAGTGTCTCTAGACTTGCGGTAAACAGAGTCTCAGAAACAAAAAAAAGTAGACTCAAATTCTTGCCTCAATTTAGGAAAACATCTGGCAACTGCAGCTGTAGTCAATAATGGCCCCGAAAAGTCAGGAGAGAGGGCATGCTCTGAGACCAACACAAGGGAACAGAAAGGAGAGCAGGAGGAAGGAGAACCACATTCAGATGGACATGCTTCACTGAATACTAGAAGCACAGATACACTTACATGCAAGAGATGAAACTGTCCAGCTCCCGCCAGGCATAGAAAAAAGGAAGGAGGTGAGGAAAGAGTGGAGAGTACAGGGTTTAATCCTTCCTGGACAGGTCACCTAGTCAGGAAAGAAGCAGGAGAGAACAGAGATGTCCAGTAGCTACAGCAAGATGCACAGGCACGCTGAGCAAGTTCTGAGCCAATGGCAGCTATAAGGAATAATGACACAGGAGATCATCAATATCTAGGCCACATTCCATCAGTTGGTCCTGGTGTCAGTGCCTGCTCAAGCAGAGCCCCTCCCACTTGGGATTCTGTATTCCTTTAGGCTGAAATCCCTAGCTCTTGGACTAATTACAGTCTGACTGCTTCAAAACTTGCAAAGTTCAATTATGAGTTTATCATTAAGTGGCACCTTTCTTTGGCTCTTGGCATAAGATGGGTATTTGAAATACTACATACCCATTCACTTAGGACACTTGCCTCATACAGTAGTGGGGTGAGGTGTATATTTAGTTCCTTATATAAACTATACCTTGAATATCACAGCATGGTTATCTTGTGGTGGCTTGTGAACTGTCACCATTTCTAAGCAACTTAACAATCTGCTTTTATACAGTTTATGTGGCTCTGCATATGATTTCCTTTGAAAAAGTCCCCATGTCAAAAAGAAAAAATATGAAATCCACTGAAGCAGGTAGGTAAGGGATAGGAAATGGTTGAGGCCATCTCTTAAAAAACTCTTAACCCTATCATGCTTTAACAAAAGCCATTCCTAAGGGACAGGAAGAAGGCAGAACTCCCCTCTTGCATCTAAGTCACATCTTAAAAGGTAAAACGGTAGGCTGGGTGCGGTGGCTCACGCCTGTAATCCTAGCACTTTGGGAGGCCTAGGTGGGCAGATGATGAGGTCAGGAGTTAGAGACCAGCCTGGCCAACATAGTGAAACCCCGTCTCTACTAACAATACAAAAATTAGCTGGGCACGGTGGCACATCCTGTAGTCGCAGCTACTAGGAAGGCTGAGGCAGGAGAATCACTTGAACCCAAGAGGTGGAGGTTGTGGTGAGCCAAGATCGTGCCACTGCACTCCAGCCTGGGCGACAGAGCGAGATTCCATCTCAAAAAAAAAAAAAAAAAAAGGTAAAACAGGCTTGGTGTGGTGGCTCACACCTATAATTCCATTGCTTTGGGAAGCCACGGTGGGAGGAATGCTTGAGGCCAGTACTTGGATACTGGCCTGGGTAACATAGTGACACCCTATTTACAAAAAAATAAGAAAATTAGCCAGGCATGGTGGTGCACACCTATAGTCCCAGCTACTTGGGAGGCTGCAGTGGGAGACTCCCTTAAGCCCAGGTTTGAGGCTGCAGTGAGCCGTGATCATGCCACTGAACTCCAGCCTAGGTGACAGAGCAAGACCTTGTCTCTAAACTAAAAAAGGCAAAACACTCATAGAAGAGGCAAAGACTTTGGAGCCCTAGGCTTTTTGCTTGGCCTGCTTGAGTAGATGGGGCTCACCAGGTTTGATGGAGAGAGAACATCTGTTGAGTAATCCCTATCTTCCCCCATACCCCAAAGAAAGAAGCCATCTTTCATCCTCACCTTTCCCCTGATCAAGGCTTTCAAAGCAATCCGTGCAATTAGGTAGGACCAGATGACATGCAGAACCTGTAGGGTCAGCAGCAGGCCATTGAGGAGCCACCATGAAGCATAAGGCCCGATTATCTCCCAACTCTCAAAGAGGGTCGTGTTCAGAATCCTAGAAGAGGGAGGCCAATGGTCAGATTCTAAAGTCAAAGCTCAGAAGACAGGGATGAAGCCGAGTCCTAGGGATGCAGAGCCCTGTGTGTTTTCCTACCAGCCCTTTTATCAGCTGAAGTTCCAGGGACTGTCATCCACAGTAAGAAAATAAAGAAGGGGAGGAGCCTGTTGTGTTTTCTATCCTTAGGAACAGGGAAAGATATATAAATCTTAGGAACTGATGGATTAAGTCACATTATTAATGACTTCAAATATGCAGAGTTTGACGAAATTAGGACAGAAGTGGGACTCTAATCCTAGGAATGACTCAGCTCCTCAGACACATATAGGATAGGACAGTAGGTAGCTGATTCCCATAAAGCAGTGAATGTAGAAGTGAAAGGAGACGGGGGGGGAGGGGGGAGAGGAGAGAGAGAGAGAGAGAATGAGAGAGAGAATGAGAGAGAGAATGAGAGAGAGAATGAGAATATGTGTGTGTTGGTCAGGGTTGGGACCAGAGCAGGAACACAAGCAAGAAGGGCCTGAGAATTGTATCAACAGGGCAAAAGAAGGCAAAGGAATTACTTAGGCATAAAATTAGGACTGTTCCTCAGAGATGAGTCAAAAAAACCAGAAGCCAACCGAGTCGGGTACTCTGAGTCTGGATCCGACCTTGCTAGAAATACGGTGTGAGGCAGCAGAGGTCCTATGAGAGTCCATAAAAGGTCAGCACAGGCCAAGGTAAAAGCAGGGCAATAGGGTTCTTGTGTTCTATTGGCAAAAATAGAATAGAATAGAACAGAAAAACTGAATGGGCAAAATGAGAATTGGCAAAAGGTATCATTAGGCTCATACCTACCACAACTCTACAGCCCTACCACTTACCAGAATGGATAGATTCCTAGACGTGTAACCATAAAAACAGCACTGAAGATAACAAAAAGGGTGTCACAGAGCCGCTGATATTTGGCATAATTGGCCAGCTTGGCTGCCTGGAGAAAGGAAGAAAGAATTGAGCTGGGGAGAAAGTCCTCACATAGGAAGAAGAGAAGAGAAGAAGAAGATGGAGAAAGACTGGGTTTTTACCTCCAGCAAGAAGTCTGAGACATCATGTAGACACATGATCAGAGTTCCTGCTCGAACCATATTGTTGATGTAGGAGAAGGAGATGAGCCCAATGGTGACCAAGTGATGCACAAACATGATCAGGAAGTCCTAGGAAGGAATGGAAATAGAAGAGGGAGGTAAAAGCTGGGCCGTAGAAACACCAGCCAACCCAATGTCCTGCATTATTCTCTGAGGATCTTACCCCACCCCGTATATAATAGTTTCCATTGGCCAGGCGCAGTGGCTCATGCCTGTAATCCCAGCACTTTGGGAGGGCAAGGTGGGCGGATCACCCAAGGTCAGGAGTTCGAGTTCAACCTGACCAACATGGTGAAACCCCATCTCTACTAAAAATACAAAAATAAGCCAGGCGTGGTGGCGCACACCTGTAATTCCAGCTACTCGGGAAGCTGACGCAGGAGAATTGCTGGAACCTGGGAGGCAGAGGTTGCAGTGAGCCAATATCGCGCCACGGCACTCCAGTCTGGGCGAAAGAGTGAGACTCCATCTCAAAAAAAAAAAAAAAAGTTTCCATTCTGCTTAGACTCTCCTCTGGCTACCTAGCATTTAACTAAACACTCCCTACATCAGTGACTGACCCATACTCTACGTTAATGCAGCTCAAAGGCCAGAAAGTAAAAATTTCCTTTGGTAACTGCGGAATATATATAGTGTGGATGCTGAACTGACACCTGGGGATAACTTCCCAGTGGGACATACAAGCCTTAGAGATCTCTGAGATTCTATGACTCTTCTGTTTTAATGAGAGAAACGTCAACCACAAGGACCTAATAGTAGGGATAGGTTTGTGGCTCTAATTTCCTCTTGGGTTCAAATGTCAAGTTAGATCTAGGGAAGTCTCTAAATACTTGAGTTGTCAGACACATCTATTAAATACTTCTCCGTTTATTATGTTTAAAACTTAAATATGTATTTCAAACTTTCTTATATGTGTCACAATTAAAATAAAATTGTAATAAAGTGACCTGTGTCTTCTGACCATAGGAGAGTAAAAGGCATAAAAATTGAGTATCAAGTTTCTATGTTAGATAACACTAACAACCTGGTTAAGTTTTAATTCATTCCCATAAATGCTAACCCTGGTTTTCTTCACCAAAGATAACCCTGAGTTAGTGACAGATTAGGGTTAGAGCTGCTGGAACCACATTATTTCAGGTAGACGCTAATAAAAAAGTAAAGATTCTGCCTTTTCTATTTGGTTGTATAAAACTTAAGTCATTTCCAACTCTGTCACTATCTGGGCAAGTCATCTCACTTCTCTCAATCTTTGCTTCCTGAACAATAGCAGGAAGAGAGTAAAACCCCTTCCAATTGACTTTCTTTGAGTAAGTCGGGTAACCAGAAAGGGAGTACAGAGAGAGCAAATGTCCCTAATGCCATGTGAAAGCCATTATCCAGTTTTTCTGGAATCAGGTGTTTTTTCTAAATAAGGCATTGCTATCCCCCAATTCTGACTAGGATTTTTTTCTTTAGATATGTAAGAAGCTTAAAGAAGAATATGGAAAAAAGTATGCTTCTTAGCTGGTTAATTGCTCTCATCCTGGGGCTTCCCTGAATGTCTTAAATATACTTCATCATTAATTCAGTCTCATTTCTGGCAACATTACAATAAGCTAAGAGTCCATCAAACCCAGTTTCTCCTTTTGCAGTCTCAGGGAAGATAATACATCATAATGGCAGTCATGGAAGCTGCTAGAAAGGAGGATGCAGTAAGTTTGGGACTTGAGGGGGCCAACGTCCTTACCTTTCTTTTAATGTCTGTAAACTGAGAAAACATAAGGGACCAATAGAAGGCCAGTTCCATGATATAATAGTAATAAAGCCCACTTGAAAGAGGCTGCAAGAGAGAAAGAAGTAGTTAGATTACCGACTAGTCAAACGTGCATTCCATCTCTCCAACTTTCTCTGCCTTGGAGGACCAATACCCCAAATTATTAGACATTTCTCCTCCCCATTATCTCCCAAGATATGCAATAGCTAACAGACTTTGGATTGGTGTAGAGACTTAAGCCTCTTCCCTCGCTCCTCTGCACACCCATCTTCAGCTCTCATCTTACAGAGATGAGATACAGTTAACACATACTATAACACAATCAAATCAGTATGTCTAGGATTCTGGGCAATTAGTGCTTTTTACAGGATTGAATACACATAGGCCTTCTCCTCTTCCACCCCTTTAGCAGTTCTTTGACATATTTCCAGTATAGATTACAACCAAGATGCTCTTAATGGGATTTCAAGTTACCCTTGATACAAAAAAGACATCTGAACCAGAAAGTACCTCATTAAATACCAGAAAACTGCTTTTCTTTCTAGCCCAATTAGAGTGAATATAATGGGGAAAATCAGAACAAAAAACTCACTGGATTTCATTGCTATGGGGGTCTCAGGAATAGATACCTCATATGACTCTTAGCAGTGGGAAAATTAATAAAAACAAAAAATAGAGACCCTGAATATATGACTTAAAGAGACTGAACCCCTAATCCCTCAATCCCAAGGAAACACACCATCTGTCCTGGGGACTGGCAAAGGATCCTCACTCACTCTATCTTACACACATTCAAGACCTCTATCCTGAAACGACTCAGATCCTACCTGAAATGGATAGTTATGCCAGCACTGTCGGATGTCCCAGAACCAAGGTGACTAAGAGAAAACAGATAATCCATGTCAATCCTCAAGGTTCTCACCTGGCTTCAAGATCTACCCCATGTAATCCCCTTCTCTCTAGGCTGGGGCAAAAGAGAGACAGGAAAGCCCCCAAACAGATTTAAGGGCTCCCCAAAGGATCAATAAATAGCTAGATTGTTCATCTACAACAGAGTGTTATAAATAGAAAAACTATGCTTTGAGGTAAATAAGAACAAAGAGAATTTTAGGATAGTTTTAGGAAGTATCACCACCTGGAATATATATACAGGAAGACAGTGATTCATTTGATAACCAAGAAAGGTATCTCCATGCCAGGTTCAGAAGTCAAAACTAATAATCTCTAATGGAATAATGATTATGTCCTTTAAGGAGTTTGTGTATATCATCTTTGCTGCTGGATTTCTTATCATTAAATTGTTCATAATATTGTCCTATTATCCTTTCAATGATTATAGGATCTGTAGTGATAACCCTTCCCATATTGGTAATTCGTATTTTCTTTTTTTGTTGGAGTTTGTCCATTAATCAGACCTTTCAAAGAAAGAACTTTTGGCTTTATTAATTTTATCCATGGTCAGGCACAGTAGCTCACACCTGTTAATCCCTGCACTTTGGGAGGCTGAAGTGGGTGGATTGCTTGAGCCCAGGAGTTCAAGACCAATTTGGGCAACATAGTGAAACCCCGTCTCTAAAAAAATACAAAAATTAGCCCAGTGTGGTTGTGCATGTGCCTGTAGTCTCAAGTTTCTTGGGAGGCTGAGGTGGTAGCATCGCCTGAGCCTGGGAAGTTGAGGCTGCAGTGAGCTGTGATCATGCAACTGCACTCCAGCCTGGGTGACAGAGTAAGACCCTGTTTTAAGCAAAAACAAAAACAGGCCAGGCATGGTGGCTCATACCTGTAATCCCAGCACTGTGGGAGGTGGAGGTGGGAAGATCACCTGGGGTTAGGAGTTCGAGATTAGCCTGGCCAACATGGTGAAAATCTGTCTCTACCAAAAATACAAAAATTAGCTGGGCCTGGTGGCGTACTCCGGTAGTCCCAGCTACTCGGGAGGCTGAGGCAGGAGAATCACTTGAACCCAGGAGGCAGAGGTTGCAGTGAGCTGAGATTGCACCACTGCACTCCAGCCTGGGAGACAGAGTGAGACTCTGTCTCAGACAAACAAAAACCCCACAAATGTATCCATTGTTTATCTAATGCCTATTTCATTAATTTCCACTTATTTACTTTATTATGGTTTTTTAGAAATGGGGTCTCACTATAGAGACTGGATCTCGTTATCTTGCCCAAGCTGATCTTGAATTCCTGGGCTTAAGTGATCCTCCCACTTCAGCCTCCCAAAGTGTGGGGAGCACAGGGGTAAGCCACCACGCCTGGCCAATTTCTGCTTATTTTTTATTATTTCCTTCCTTTAACCTATTTTGCTTATCTTTTTCAAGAACCTAAAGCAGAAACTTAGATTAACTTTAAACCTTTCTTTTGTAATATTAACATTTAAAGCTATAAATTTCCCTCTAGGTATGTTTTATCTGTATCCCAGAAATTTTGATATGTTTTACTTTTAGCATCATTCAATTAAAAATATTTTCTTATTTCTCTTGTGATTTTTTATTTGATCCACAGGTTATTGAGAAGAGTTGTTTAACTTCCAATTTTTTTTTTTTTTGAGACAGAGTCTTGCTCTGTCACCCAGGCTGGAGCGAAGTGGCGTGATTTCGGCTCATTGCAACCTCTGCCTCCCAGGTTCAAGTGATTCTCGTGCCTCAGCCTCCCCAGCAGTTGGGATTACAGGCACGCACCACCATGCCTGGCTAATTTTTTGTATTTTTAGTAGAGATGGAGTTTTGCCATATTGCCCAGGCTGGTCTTGAACTCCTGAGCTCAGGCAATCTGCCTGCCTCAGCCTCCCAGAGTGCTAGGATTACAGGTGTGAGCAACCGCATACGGGCGACTTCCAAATATTTTCCATGTCTCTCATTACAATTGACTCCTAATTTAATTCCATTATGGTTAGAGAACACATTCTTTAAGATTTCAATATTTTGAAATTTACTGAGACTTATTTTATGGCCCAGCATTAGTTTATCTTTCTACATGCACTTAAAAATTATATGTGTTCTTCAGCTGTTGGTGTAGTGTTTTATAAATGTCAATTAGCTAAAACTGGTTGATCATGTCATTCATATATTTTACATCTTTAGTGATTATTTATTTATTTATTTATTTATTTATTTAGCCTAGGGTTTAGGTCAATTACTGAGAGAAAAGTATTAACATCTTCAAGTACAACTGTATATTTGTCTATTCCTTTACTTCTGCCAGTTTTTTGTCTATAATATTTTGAAAACACAGTGATACCATTTAGAGAGAAATAGTATGGTACAGGGAAAAAAACATGAACTCAAGAATCAAAAAGCCTGAAATTCTTCCTTCTTTTTCTGAGGCAGAGTCTTGCTCTGTCACCCAGGCTGGAACGTAGTGGCTCCATCACTGCTCACTGCAGCCTTGACCTCCTGGGCTCAGGTGACTCTCCTACATTAGCCTCCTGAGTAGCTGGGACTACAGGTACATGCCACCACACCAGGCAAATTTTTGTAGAGACGGTGTTTCACCATGTTGCCCAGGTTGGTCTTGAACTCCTGGGCTCAAATATCTGCCCATCTTGGCCTCCCAAAGTGTTAAAATTACAGATGTGAGCCACTGTACCCGGCCCCCTGAAATTCTTCTTTGACTCTAACAATTAACTAAAAAATGGGAATAATACCCGTTTCACCCACTTTAAAGGGTTGATTCCATTTCTCCTCCTTCAATTTTTGTCAAGTGCTTTGTAAACCATTAAGTATTATGCTGATTTAGTTATTACTGATATTACTAGTATCTTCTAGGGAGAAGCAGTAGAGTTATAAGGTTACTGAAGTCAGGCCCCAGACAGAAGACAATCTATTAGGATATAAACCTGGACTGTGGGCATCACAGAGGAGGAAAAGTTGGGGGAAATATAAAGATCTAAAGGCATTTATGCCAGGCACAGTGGCTCATGCCTGAAATCCCAGCATTTTGGGAGGCTGAGGTGAGTGGATCACCTGAGGTCAGGAGTTCAAGACCAGCCTGGCCAACATGGTGAAATCCCGTCTCTACTAAAAATGCAAAAATTAGCCAGGTATGGTGGTGTGCACCTGTAGTCCCAGCTACTCAGAAGGCTAAGGTAAGAGAATCGCTTGAACCCAAGAGGTGGAGGTTGCAAGTGAGCTGAGATTCCACCACTGTACTCCAGCCTGGGTGACAGAGTGAGACTCTGTCTCAAAAAAAAAAAAAGAAAAAAAATCTAAAGGTATTTAACTCTTGCTTCTAGATTAACTCTTATTACTAGAGATCTAGGCATGATTACAACCCAACAGAGGACTAGAGAAAGTTAAGACTCACCGACCAGAGAAATCTAATTCCATAGCAGAATATACATAAATAAAATGTGAATCTCCACCTGGGTGGACAAAGAGGAGAGGTTAGACAAATGTCCACTGAAACCGAAGTCTCTGAGGCTAGGGAAGTCAAGATAGCAAATCTGGGGATAAGAGAGTTACTGGTGAGAAAGAGGATCAAGTCCTAGAATAGGGGCAACTACTGTCATTTAAAAAGCCAAAGACAGGGGCCAGGAGTGGTGGCTCAAGCCTGTAATCCCAGCACTTTGGGAGGCCGAGGCGGGCGGATCACCAGGTCAAGAGATCGAGACCATCCTAGCCAAACATAGTGAAACCTTGTCTCTACTAAGAATACAAAAATTAGCTGGGCATGGTGGCGCACGCCTGTAGTCCCAGCTACTCAGGAGGATGAGGCAGAAGAATAGATTGAACACAGGAGGTGCAGGTTGCAGTGAGCCGAGATCGTGCCACTGCACTCCAGTCTGGCGACAGAGTGAGACTCCGTCTCAAAAAAAAAAAACAAAACAAAAAAACCAAAGACAGAGTCATCTTCCATTAGGAAAAATATTAGGCTCTATCATCAGACTCCCTAGCATTTTTCTTTACATGACAATTACTAATACAGTGCTCAGAGGATAATTAGAAAAAGCTCAATAAAATGAAGAATAGTATTTCCCAGAAAAGGAATGCTTCCTAAAAATTGTCAACTTATAGCAAGCAAGCTAGTACTCCCTCTATTAAGGTATACATGTGTTAGTACATCTACTTACATAAGTACAGTTATAAGGATTTACTCCCAATCTATTTAGGAAAAGGAAACAAAATGGAACCATACCTAGGTTAGTGGCAACATGTCCAAGAAACTTAAGGGAATCAGTGTTCCAGTTCCCTTCTTTCCTACCAATAATAGGCTGAGTTAGCTCTCTATATCCATTAACTGTTGTCCTAACAACAGAAGTGATTTTCAAAAAAGAAAACTTCAGTCCAGTTGTATCCCACCCTCTTCCTTATTCCCTCCCTCTCTCCTTGCATACTTACATGCTTTCACAGAATTTAGTGAGCGTTGGGGGCTTGTCCTGATTCCTCCTATGGCGAAACCAGCATTGGATTTTTTGGACATTCCAATCCAGCTGCTTTGACAGGCCCTCCAGCCTTTTCTTATCAGGATACTGTAAATGTATAAGCAGAGTCAACACCCCTGTCTCCTCAGACCCTTCCGAGACCCCTCCTTCAATACCATTGACTAGCTGAGTGATAAGATATGATAGCCATAGTGGCTCAAGTGATGTTTATCTTTCCAAGTTATCCCAAAGTCATTTTTAGTAAGAAATTTTATCTTACATATCAAGGACCTGTACTGCTCACCTATACACATCCTTGTTTCGACTCTTCCTCCAGCCCAGGCTGAGTAAAAAAGGATATTAAAAACCCAAATTGCAGGCCAGGCATGGTGGCCCATGCCTGTAATCCTGGGATTTTTGGAGGCCGAGGGCCGAAGGATGGCTTGAGCTCAGGAGTTCCAGACCAGCCTGGGCAACATGGCAAAACCTTGTCTCTCCAAAAAACCAACAAAAAACCCGAACTGCAAAGGCTATCAGTACCGTCTCCATTTCGATTACACAACTAGGCAGTGGCAGAAACTGGAACAAGGAAAAACAAAAACAAGATATGGTGTGTGTTTGGGGAAAGAGGGGTAAAGGTGGCTGCTGGGCCTAAAACTCAAACATACTACTATGTAAACTTGACATACGTAGGGCCCAAAGGTTTTCCCTGAGGGGATAAAGCTCTCCATATAGCTACATAGATTACTCAAACATGAAAGATCATCCCATCCTATCCTTACCCTTAGGGATATGTGCTGTCTACCCTCCACTGCCCCATGGAGCAACGCCTTGTGTGAATTTTCCTCTCTGTTTCTTTGCCCACTTACCTTGGTGATAGATACGAACACCTTTTCAAGGATGGCATTGGGTTGGGCCTGATAAGGACCACTGTCCTCGATGCCAATATGGAGTGCACAGGGTTTGGCAATAAACCTGTAATGGAGAAAACCCAAGGGCCAATTCTTTTAAAATAATTTGTATTTATAATTGACACATAATAATTGTACATATTTATGGGGTACAATGTGATGTTTCAATGCATGTATACATAGGATAATGATGAAACTGGGGTAGTTACCATATCCATCACTTTCAACATTTATCACTTCTTTATGGTGACAACATTCACCAGCCTCAGCCTCCCAAAATGCTGGGATAACAGGTGTGAGCCACTGTGCTGGCTGGAAGCTTTTTAGAAATGCATAATCTTGAGCCCATCTCAGACTTGCAAAATCAGAACCTGCGCTTTAACAAGATTCCCAGGTGATTCACATGTCCATTAGAATGTGAGAACCACTAATCTACTTCAGAAGAATCTTGTAAGTGTACAATGAGATAATGTATATGAAAGACACTGGCACAAAGGAGGTGATTAATAAACGGCAGTTTTCCTTACATCAAAAGACCAAGATCTTAATTGGAGGGAAAAGTAGAACTGAGACTAAGCTCTTCCTGCATATAGATATCCTGGGTCTTGGATACCTTCCTGCCTAACCAAGAGGTTACGGAAATACTTCGATCTTTCAGGAGTCAAGAAGAAAGAAATCAGGAAGCTAGGAAAGGGGAGAAGGAAATTACCTATTAGTACTCTATCCTAGTCTCAGATCTACTAATAAGGCATATAAACTTGGTAAAATCACTTATCTCTTGGGTCTTGGTTTCATCATCTAAAAGAAGAGGTTATATCAAGCAGAGTCCCATGGATTTAAATTTTTAAAAAGAATTAAAAAGCTGGGCGTGGTGGCTCACGCCTGTAATCCCAGCACTTTGGGAGGCCGAGGCAGGAGGATCACAAGGTCAGGAGTTTGAGACCAGCCTGGCCAACAACATAGTGAAACCCTCTCTCTACTAAAAATAAAAAAAAAATTAGCTGGGCTTGGTGGCAGGCGCCTGTAGTCCCAGCTACTTTGGAGGCTGAGGCAGGAGAATTGTTTGAACCCTGGAGGTGGAGGTTGTAGTGAGCTGAGATCGCGCCACTGCACTGCAGCCCAGGCGATGGTGCGAGAATCCATCTCAAAAAAAAAATAAATAAATAAAAAATAAAAAGAGGTTATGAGATGATTTCTAAGATTTCTTTTTCTGTATCTAAGATTCTATGATGTTATCATTGATTGATTATAATTAATTTCTAACTTTTGAATCTTTGAAAATTGAGGAACTATTCCTTGGTTCTTCAAGAAGGATCTTACTCTCCCCCACAACCAGAGATTTCTATGAATATCAGCACTAGGAAAAGCTCTATATTGCCACTTTCAGGATAAGTCAAAACCAGTTTTAGCCCTTAGCATCTTAAGGAGTCCCATAATGAAAATATGACTGGGAGGTGTAAAATGGAGTGCCATTGATCTATTTTCTTGAGCTGCATTTGAATCTAGAATATATTGTCTCTAAAGGAGGGATTGAGAAATAAGAAACTTTTCTCCCTCTATGAAAACTTTTTACCTTATCACCAAAGTTCCTGAGCCATAGAGTAATATTTATTCAGAGCATAAAGTTAGCCACATCTGTAACACATTCTCTTTTACACAGGTGGTAAAAAAAAATAGTTCCACTCAAAGGCCAATGCTAGTGGATACATTAATTTACATTTACTGGTATACTATTCTGTATACCAATAATATTTTAATCCCTAACTCATGTTTAAACTCCTTCTAAACACAAATAGACTGCTTTCATATTTACCAACGTACTGTGCTCAGCAGTTGCTCAGTAACTGACAAGCAACAGGTTTTAGTGAAACCCACTCTTGTTCTATTGGAGCTCAATTCCGACCCAGGATTAATCAGCATTCAGAAGAGTAAATGAGGTGGTCATTCTTTGTTGTTGAGTTGATACCATATTAGAGATAAAAATCATCTAAACAACCCTGTCTCCTCCTCCTTTTCCTATCAACATAATTGCATGAAAATCCAAAGGCAGAAAACAGCCTTTCCAATTCCTACTCTTACCCCCAACCCAGGCTTCTTTAATCTGGAAGCAGTCAGGTGATTAAAACTCAGGACTTGCAGTTAGACAGATTTTACCAGCTTAAAGACCTTGTGATTGTTACATACCCATAGAATGGAGATAATATCTACCTCACAGGGTTAAAGATAAAATGATACAATGTATGCCTATACCAATACCTGACATTTAGTAAACATTCATTAAAGAGTAGCGATTATTATTTCACTAGAAACATATTCAGTCTGGGTACTCCGGTACCTCCAGCAGAAAGTGAGAAGCAAGAAATCCTCTTTGATATAACAAGTCTATATTCTGCTCACCTGGGTGAAGCCAATTTTAAAATTACTATTATCTGGATCATGGTGTGGACTTAATAATCTAGCATTGTCATTAGCTCACATCCTGCCCTCATTAGTTCAGAGTTCGGTGAAAAGCATAAAGCTACTCATATCCAGTCAGTTCCAGCTATATGGAGCCTAAGAATATTTGACAAATACTTGTTGAGTGTTTATTTTGTGCCACAGAATGAAGTTTTATTATGATATTTTCCAGACATGATTGGAAAAGACTCTTTTCTAATTTGTGATAAAAATTAAATATATAGATTTAGTTACACAGTTAATGAATTCCGTTACTGAAGAAAGTGAAATTATTTGAAATTAATAGCTTTTGAGAAATTACTAATTCTACATCATACAAAAGGCTGGCATTTGGTATAACTTATAAAATAGGTATCTAGGCTGGGCGCGGTGGCTCATGCCTGTAATCCCAGCACTTTGGGAGGCTGAGGCAGGTGGATCACAAGGTCAGGAGTTCGAGACCAGCCTATCCAACATGGGGAAACCTCATCTCGACTAAAAATACAAAAAGCCGGGCGTGGTGGTGGGCGCCTGTAACCCCAGCTACTCAGGAGGCTGAGGCAGGAGAATTGCTTTTACCCAGAAGGTGGGAATTACAATGGGCGACAGAGCGAGACTCCATCTCCAAAAAAAAAAAAAAGATACCTAGGCTGGTCAATTTCCAGAGCCTGGCATTTATCCTTTCTGCTACATCAGCACTTCTCAAAGTGTGGTTTACAGACCCCTGGGGAATCCAGAGACCCTTTCAGTAGGTCTACAAGGTCAAAACTATCTTCATAATAATTATATAATTTCATAAAAATCCTTTCTCTCTCATGAGAGTACAGTGGAACTTTCCACAAGTTACATGACATATAACAACAGACTGAATGCAGACGCTGACATGAGACTACAACTGCCAGATATTTTCAAAAATATTAAAATGCTACTCTTCTCAGTTTTTTGTTTTGGAAAACAGTTATTTTTCATAAAATGTAATGAGTTCATTGTTATTTATTTATATTGAGACAGGGTCTCACTCTGTCACCCAGGCTGGAGTGCAGTGGTGTGATCACTGCTCACTGCAGCCTTGACCTCCTCAGCTCAAGTGATCCTCCCACCTCAGCCTCTCAAGTAGCTGGGACTACAGGTGTTGGCCATGCCCAGCTAATTAAAAAAAATTTTTTTTGTAGAGACAGGGTTTCACCATGTTTCCCAGGCCATTGCTATTTTTAAATGAATTAATAAATATGGGCTGGGCACGGTGGCTAATGCCTGTTATCCTAGCACTTTGGGAGGCTGAGACAGATGGATCACTTGAGCCCAGGAGTTCGAGACCAGCCTGGGAAACGTAGTGAAACCCTGTCTCTGCCCAAAACACAAAAGTTAGACAGGTGTGGTAGCTCATGCCTGTGGTCCCAGCAACTTGGGAGGTTGAGGTGGGAGGATCGCTTGAGCCTCGGAAGTCGCGCAGTGGGCTGTCATTGCGCCACTGCACTTCAGCCTGTGTGACAGAGCCAGATCCTGTCTCAGAAATAAAGAGGCTGGACCCGGTGGCTCATGCCTGTAATCCCAGCACTTTGGGAGTCTGAGGTGGGCAGACTGCTTGAGCTCAGGAGTTCAAGACCAGGCTGGCCAACATGGTGAAACCCCATCTCTACCAAAAAATACAAAAATTAGCCAGGCATGGCGGCACATGCCTGTAGTCCCAGCTACTTGGCAGGCTGAGGTGAGAGGATCTCTTGAACCCAGGAGGCGGAGTTTGCAGTGGGCTGAGATCTTGCCACTGCACTCCAGTCTGGGCAACACAGCAGACTCTGTCTCAATAATAGATAAATAAATAAATAAATAAATAGGCTGGGCGTGGTGGCTCAGACCTGTAATACAAGCACTTTGGGAGGCTGAGGCAGGCAGATCACTTGAGGTCAGGAGTTCAAAACCAGCCTGGCCAACATGGCAAAATGCCATCTTCTACTAAAAATACAACAACAAAAAAGTAGCCAACTACTTGGGAGGCTAAGGCAGGAGAATTGCTTGAACCTAGGACGCGGAGGTTGCAGTGAGCCGAGATTGCGCTACTGCACTCCAGTTTGGGTGACAGAGCGAGACTCCATCTAAGAAAAAAAAAAAAAAGGCCGGGCGCGGTGGCTCACGCCTGTAATGCCAGCACTTTGGGAGGCCGAGGAGGGCAGATCACAAGGTCGAGAGATCAAGACCATCCTGGCTAACACGGTGAAACCCCGTCTCTACTAAAAATGCAAAAAATTAGCCGGGCGTGGCGGCAGGCGCCTGCAGTCCCAGCTACTTGGGAGGCTGAGGCAGGAGAATGGCGGGAACCCGGGAAGCGGAGCTTGCAGTGAGCCGAGATCACGCCACTGCACTCCAGCCTGGGCGACTGAGCAAGGCTCTGTCTCAAAAACAAACAAACAAACAAAAAAATATATATATACACATTTTATACATGTGTAAATACAGAAAACATGTACATTTTCCCTATTTTTTTTTTTCTAAAACAGTAGACATTGATAGGTACTATCCACATAAACAAAAACTCTTTGGGATCCTTGAAAATTTTTTAAGATTGTAAAGGAGTCCTGAGATCATAGTTTGAAAACTGTTGTGCTCGATGATACTGAGAAATCATACTTT